TATATATATATATATATATATATATATATATATATATATTACGAAACGTTCGTTTCATTAAAACTTTATAAATAGAGTTTACAAAACTTTACCCCCTTTGTAGCCCGTTGAGCAAAGGGTAAAATTATATAAAGTACATATATAATTGTTTTACGACATTTACGATATTATCCTGGAAAGAGGGGATAATTTCATATACAAACGTTTTCATTTCAAAAACACGTACACTCGCTGAATAAATTTGTGAGACATTGTCTTCATCGTACCTAACTGAGGTATACACGAAAGTCCTGTATTTATAACCGGAATCTCCGATACGAGAGCGTGATACTTGTGTATAGATCTATACGAGACTGATGATCCCACACCCTGACTGCTAGCTACAGTCAAACCGGCAGGTTATGGGTGACAAATGTCATAAATATCTCGACGCTTGAAGCGACGAGGCAGACACTGCATTTTAAAAGCACGGTTATTAAAACTCACATGGGGAAGCGACTATACGCGCATTTTACACGAAAACACATTTCTTCAAACGGTTTTATACATGAATAAAACCACATATTACTACTTTAAGTATGAAAAACACTGGTACATTTCGGTCTTAGACATTTAAGACTACAACTCATTTCTACGGAAAATATTGGATTTTCTGGAATAAACACTACCATTTTACAAGTGAACGACTTTAAAATCATTTATTAGAAAATATCGGATTTTCTGGAAACAAACACGATATCTCTTCACAGAAAGGCTTACTATTTTCATATAAACTCTTATGAACTCAACAACTTAATTGTTGACACTTTTTCAAACAACTTATATTCTTATGGAATCAGTAAAACAGGTAACCAACAGCTTTTGAGGATGGGGCGCTAAGGCGCCAAACAAATCTTTTGGCATCATATTGTAATTGACTTTCTAAACATATAACACTTACAATGATGTAACTTTTTCAATTATATATATGATGGTTATGTTTGCTTTCTTTACTATTACTTAATTGTTATGATACAATACATGAAAGTCATCCACCCCCGGGCGTTTCCGCCATCCTGGTTTGGGGGTGTGACAGATTGGTATCAGATCAATCTACGCAGGAAGTACCACGCCTTCCTAGCCTACACAGTAGATGAGAAATAGGAAGCGTAAAACATCAATGATGTTCCAGAAGTCCGTAAACTTCCCGACATATTCCCAGCAGACCTCTCGGGAATACCCCTCGTACAACAAGTTCAAGAATCGACCTAAAATGCAGTAGATATGGAAAAATAATTATAATTACCTTCTCACCCAAACTAATCACATCACTCATGTAGAAACTAAGGACCTATACTGGTAATCTATCACTATTGGGCGCATACGTTAGGGTTGTATATAATTAAGATTCTACAGACTTAGGATGTGTGATTCCGCCTTAAATCCTGTTCCTTGTTTGGTTGTGGGCTTAGGGTAGAATCACTTATCCGACTGTCCTTCCAAGCTTAATTATATACGACCTATATACGCAAAGCAATGATAGATGAATCAAGTATGAGTCATACCACGAATCCCAAGACAAAGCTGCTCGAAACTACGGGTACACACGCTACCAATTGAGTGATGAACCAAACTCATACACTCCCTACCGATCAAAGCAACTGGTGAAATAGAAAAGCTGACAATAATGTATCACAATGAGGTTGTGAGACTACTCAGTATACCACTATCAGTTACTACGGATAAGGGACAATCGATTCGCCTCACACTTTTGACAGTCATTATAGAATTCTTTGAAAACCCAACTCGTCTTGAGTATAGCTTACCATCCCTAAACAAATAGTCAGAATGAGTGAAACATTCAAACATTAGAAGGTATGCTTCATGTCTGTGTGATAGACATTGGCAAAGCATGGGACGCTTCGATTGAAGCACTATACGGACACAAGCAATGCCGCTGGTTGAGTCCTCTTACAAATAGTAACTACCCTCTCTGGCAGCAATTCCGCTTCGATTGAAGCAATATACGGACACAAGCACATATCACCACTAAGTTGGATTGAAGTTAGGAACTCCCGTTAGGCTAAGAAGTCAAATGACCAAAAACACCCTCACCGACCCAGAGATCATAAAGGAGGTGACAGAGAAGATCGTTCGAATCCGTAAACAACTAGAGGCATTGCGGGATCAACCCGTTGACTTACAAACCCCAACTACCGTAGGAACTCGGTAACATACACCCCATCTTCCACATTCAATCTAAAACGGTATCTGTCCAACGAGACTCAAGTAATTCCACTCGATGAAGTCGATGTAAATAAGAGTCTACACTTCGTAGAAGAACGAGTAGAAATCATGGATAGTGAGATCAAGAGAACGAAACAAAGTCGTATACCAATAATGAAGGTCCGCTGGAACGCCACGCGAGGACCCAAATTCACTTGGAAACGAGAAGACCAGATGAAACAAAAGTACCCACATCTCTTCCCTAGTTCATGAGTAACCACTTTAGAACTAATTTCGGGACTAAATTCCCTCTAACGGAGGGATGATGTAACAACTGGAAAATTTTAGAGCAAGCAAGGTCTAGATTCTAACCGTGTACAAGTAAATTCACAACGTACTTGATGCAATAGAACTTTGAAAACCAATAGAGCATGTTTATATAAGTTAACATGTATATACACTTTGAAGGCCATGTTGTAATGAACCTTTGAAAATCAAATAAAGTCGACAAGCCATCAAGGAATAAAAGGAGTAAACACAAGTCAAAATGATAAGTCTAAAAGCATGAAATTGTAAATTACTTTAGGGATTTCGGTTTTGGGAATCTAGGAAACACTTTTGGACTGAAATCACTTCCTTTATGGATGCTAGAACCGAAATCACTTCCTTTAAAGCACACCATGACCGAAAACACCAAGTTTAGGCCCATTAAGGCCGAAATCTCCAAAGCTTGGACCGAAATCTCCTTTTTGATTGAGGCCAAGACCGAAATCAACTTTAGGAATGGAACACTAGGTGATTCCGGTCATACCATGGCCGAAATCACTCCCATGTTGGCCGAAAACCCTTAAATATATAGGTAATATTGCCACTTGATTTACTGAGTTGTTTTCCCAAGAAGATAATAACACTTACCAAGGTATATGTCACCTCATCTTATCCTTTATATATATATATATATATATATATATATATATATATATATATATATATATATACTAGTAGCGTACCCGCGCAATGCGGCGGCGACAATTTGTTTCATTCCGGCTATTAGTTTCCGAACCAAAGTTAGTGTCATTTCGGCGATGGTCAAATTGTTTCATTCCGGCAATTTGTTCCTTTCGGTGTTCAGCTGTCTTTAGACGGACAGCAAATAGTAATTTCCGTCTATTACTCTTTATATGGCAGCGGACGACGATTAGTTTCATTAATGATTAATGTTTTCTTTCGATATGTTGTTAAATCATTGTAGTTTAGCCTAAAAACGAAAAAGTGTTGTATTTTTTTAGTTTAAATATATTACTATGTTAGTTTGGTTAAAAATAATAATATGTTGGTATTATAGGTTAAATATGTAAGCATATTGCTATTATAGTTTAAATTGAAAGTGTATTGTTATAGGTTAAATATGAAAGTGTGTTGTTATAGGTTAAATGGATTGTAAAAATAATTAATTTGCTAAACCAACTCTAGTGAAAAGTTTATACTCTATCCCCGCTTGGCTTCGATATTTAACACATGATACATATATGATCCATTTCCCTTGCATTGATTATGTAAGTCTAAAAGGTAAAGCTTGAGGACCATCATTCAAAATGAGTTGAATTACGTAGCCATTGTAAAAATTTGAAATATTAATTTTAATAGTAATAATAAATAGTATTTTAATAATAATAATGATAATAATATTCTAAAATCTTACAATTTATCTTGAATAAATATATCACACGCAAAATCATGGCTTGAAAGTCGGCTATCAATGACTTTACCGACAACATCTAAATTAGAATTTTAGTAAAACAAATTTAAGTTATTTCACAAAAAATAAGTTAAATATTATTGTAATAACTATTAAAAATTTATCGATCAGATTCCGTTGACGTAGATTTCTCACAAGAAATTTGATAGACTCTACCAATGGATAAGTCGGAAATTGATTTCCAATGACCGGCTGAAGTAGAGTAAATTGTGTAGCTTGGTTGACAACTATGACATATTTATCATCAACAAAGTTGTATCCTTCATAATTTGGGAAGGCGCCAGGAGTACAATTGAGTTTAAAATGATTGATGGAATATAAGCAGCCTTCCATATTTCTTTCTAGATATCTTCCTATTAAAATGATTTTTTTGGTTAATTTCCGTTTATTTTACACTCTGCTATTTTATTAAAAAAGCTTGAAATATGTTTTTTATATGCTTCAATATTGCTTAACAATTGTATAAAGCTTAATCGAAACCCATAGTAATTGAGGTTTGTGTAATAGTATGTATTAGCTTGACAACTTATTCGGGTTTGGCACAAGTCAGTCCTTTGGAACAAAGAATTGTAGGTTGTTATTTTTGTTGTTTTTATCCCTCTTTTAAAATAATCATAAAATACATGCATATATGGTAATTGTAGGCAGAGACACAAATTCAATTACATGCACATAAATACACGCACACAAACATAACAATTTTAAGTTCTATCGAAAACGGTATGATATGGACTCGGTATTCTCTAATCTGTAAAAAATAGGTAAATGTTCATAATATCCTCATAATCAAAAACCTATCCTTGATGGTTGTCAAGACAGATCCAATGATACAAAAATGTACAAATTATAGGAACTTACTATCAAATTACAAAAGTACAATGCTATAATAAGAAAATTACAAAACAACTTGTGTTATGATTTTTTGGTTAATTTCTTCAAACCAAGAAATTACTACCAAAATACAAAACCGCAATGCTTTTATAAGAAAAAAAAAACAGGAACTTGGTCATTTTGGGTGTGTCTATGGGTATATTGGTCATTTAGGGAATGCTATAATAAGGAAACAAACAAAAAAAAGTTATTTTACAAACATAACAGCAAAATCAAAAATCATTTTGGGTTTGGGTTTGGGTTTGGGATTGGGACATATTGGTCATATTGGTCATTTCGGGATTGGAACATGAAATCAAAACCCACACAAAAATCAAACCAAGAGAAAACAAAAACCCACACAAAATCAAACCAAGAGAAAAAGAACTTGTACCTTGTTTTTTTGTAAAATCTTGGAAGAATTCAGTTTGTTTTACCTCTAGCACCTGAAATCAAAACCCGCAAAAAATTTAGTCATTTGGGTTTGGGATAAAAATTATTTTACAAACAGAATTGTATGGTTATTCGAATAACAAACCAAGAAAAAAATCACTTGTACCTTGTTTATTTAGCACAATCTTGCAAGATTTAATTTTTTTTAGCTCTATAACCTAAAACTGAAACCCAAACCAATATTTGTTCATTGGGTTTGTGACAACCATCGGTTAACTAACAGAACACCAAAACCAAATCAAGAAAAAAAAACAAACCTTTCCCTAGAACATGAAATCAGTTTACACACAAAGCACAATCTTGGAAGAAATCAACTTTGTTTGATCCCTAGCACATGAAACCGAAACCCACATCAAAATCAAAACCCACAAAAAACCATAAGAACTCTTAGTTTGTATGAATCCGCATACACACAACAGATAGCTTGAACGAACAAAATACATAAAACTTGTTTTTAACATCCTTTTTAGAAATCCAAACTTTGCCATTGCAATTAGTTTTCCAAAGCTGCAAGTACCAAAGGAAAAAATTAAAAATTGTACCAAGAGCCTAATACATGCTGCCTCAATAACTTCAAATGTCTTCCAAACTACAATATCTGAAAAGTGAAAAAGCACAATAGTCATAATCTACATACATACACAAAACGATAAAAGAACAAGAACTAATGTGATTAATAGTATAAAGAAACTATATATACAAATTAATAATTGTTATTGTTCAAACCGAAATTGGTTCACAACATTTTTGGGTTCAACTATATGCATAAGCTCCACCATAATTTACTTGCTTTTGAGAGGTTTTGAGTAAAATGGGACTACATGAAACATCTTCTATCCTAATATTTTAGATTAGAACCCGTATTTAAAATAGATTAATCTTAGATCTCAAGCTATTTAGTATGAAAAACACCGTGTTTGAGTAAGGAAGAGTTAAAATAGGAGAGAGGATCGAGATTCAACTACAAGAGTTAAAAAAAAACAGTAATGAGGTGAAATCTTCGGTTAAATAACAGAACACCAAAACCAACTAAAGAAAAAATAATAATAATAATAATACTCAAAACCGTTCAATAAACTGCAACAAATAACTTAATTGGAAGTTCAAAGACAAAATGAACAGGAGATTGTTGAGAATACACAGAGCATAATCTTTGAAGAATTCAACTTTTTTTTAGCCCTAAAACATGAAGTCGAACCCCACATCAAATTCGGATAACAAACAGAAGTTGTTGAGAAGAAAACACAACAATCAATTAAGGTTAAAAAACGAACCAGTCAGTTGTTTCTTCGGCACAATCTTGTAAAACTTCAAGATTAGTTACCTCTAGCCCAACAAATCGAATACAACTGCAAAGTCGTTTATACCAGAACAAAAGTACGGAGATTTAGTCTACTAAAAATGGAACCCATAGTGCTGCGACATTAGTACAAAAAGAAAAAAATAGTGGGAAGAAGCTTCAACAATTTTCAATTTCATAGAGAGCTTACCAGGGGAAAAGGAGATATCAAAATCAACGGTTGAACATGATTGTAAAGAGAATCAATTCAGATAAAAGATTAATCGTTGGGTTTGTTCATCAACTGGTCTTTCTGAGTAGAGAGAGAAGTGAGGTTGAAGAGCATTTGCATTTTAGGAGAGGCGGAGACAAATGAAAAGGTATACGATTTAGGGTTGTCTTGGGATAAAGGGAGATCAAGCCGTTTATTTGTTTTCATAAAAAAACGGATGACCAGGATTATAACATGTTGGCAATCTGTGTGCCGATCCGTGTGATAGGCCCTTGCTTTTAATCCCCAACATTCAAATTACATTCAACGGTCCAGATCAGGTTTCCTTATTTTTTAAGATAACATGCTTAATTTTTTGTACATTAGGCTTTAAAATTTGTACTTAAGACATTGATTATGTACTTAAGACATTGATTATAATATGGTATATATACATATATATATATATATATATATATATATAAGTTAGGGACCATTCAAAACTTCACTTTCAGTAAACAAATCTTTCACCTCATATTCTCTCAAGGACTCCAACACATTTCCCTCCAAACTCAAAGATCAAACATCCCCTGGAGCTTTATTCTTCAAGTAAATTCCTTAGAAATTTTGGATTCAATCATTTTCGAGTGCTCGTAACTTGAAGATCGTCACCGTCATCTCATTATCCAACCGCAAACACCCAATGTGAGTTCATACCCCTACATTTTTCAATATTTTTTCTATGTTTTAGGAGGGAATACAAGTAACACACTAGAATATTTACGTTAAAACGCAAACATTTAAATACGTTATTTTACCATTTTTACGAAAAATGTTAAATACGCGAAACGACTTTACTATCAACCACGTATATTTTTACATACAACATTTTGATAAAAACGTAAAGATATGAAAAATGGTTACAAAATACATTACATTATTCTTTTATATATATATATATATATATATATATATATATATATATATATATATATATACACACACACACACATACACACACACACCCATATATATATATATATATATATATATATATATATATATATATTTTGAGTACAAAACGTTCGTTTCATTAAAACTTTATAAATAGAGTTTACGAAACTTTACCCCCTTTTTAACCCGTTGAGCAAATGGTAAAATTATATAAAGTACATATATAATTGTTTTACGACATTTTCGATATTATCCTAGAAAGAGGGGATAATTTCATATACAAACCTTTTCATTTCAAAAACACGTACACTCGTTGAATAAATTTGTGAGACATTGTCTTCATCGTACCTAACTGAGGTATACACGAAAGTCCTGTATTTATAACCGGAATCTCTGATACGAGAGCGTGATACTTGTGTGTAGATCTATACGGGACTGATGATCCTACACCCTGACTGCTAGCTACAGTCAGACCGGCAGGTTATGGGTGACAAATGTCATAAATATCTCGGCGCCTGAAGAACGACGAGACAAACACTGCATCTTAAAAGCACGGTTATAAAAACTCACATGGGGAAACGACTATACATGCATTTTTATACGAAAACACATTTCTTCAAATGGTTTTATACATGAATAAAACCAAATATTACTAATTTAAGTATGGAAAACACTGGTACATTTCGGTATTGGACATTTAAGACTACAACTCATTTATACGGAAAATATTTGATTTTCTGGAATAAACACTACCATTTTACAAGTGAACGACTTACAAATCATTTATTATAAAATATCGGATTTTCTGGAAACAAACACGATATCTCTTCACAGAAAGGCTTACTATTTTCATATAAACTCTTATGAACTCACCAACTTAATTGTTGACACTTTTTCAAACAACTTGTATTCTCATGGAATCAGTAAAACAGGTAACCAACATCTTTTGAGGATGGGGCGCTAAGGCGTCAAGCAAATCTTTTGTCATCATATTTTAATTGACTTTTGAAACATGTAACACTTACAATGATGTAGCTTTTTCAATTATATATATGATGGTTATGTTTGTTTTCTATACTATTACTCAATTGTTATGATACAATACATGAAAGTCATCCACCCCTGGACGTTTCCGCCATCCTGGTTTGGGGGTGTGACAACTATCCAGATTTGTTCGGGGCAGCGGACTTCAAGGATGACGTCTGATTCAAGTGTGGGAGAATTGTAACACTTGAATCTTGGTAAGTTTCTCTTTTGCCCTTGCATTATTTAAATTGTCCATTTTAGTCCTTGAGTTGTACGCAGGGCGTACCACAAGGTATGCTTAGCGTACAAGCTGTAAAGCGAGTACGAGGGGCATACCACAAGGTACGCTTAGCGTACAAGCTGTAAAGCGAGTACGAGGAGCGTACCAAGTAGTACACTTAGCGTACTCATGCGAAAGTTTGATCGGGGATCCGGAGGCGTACGTTGGGCGTACACAAGAGTACGCGGGGCGTACGTAATGACTTTTGAAAACCCTAATTTCCGGGGTTGGCCACTATATAATCATCCATATGGACATGAAACCCTCATTTACTCAGCCTCCTTTGTCCTCCTAGCAGTATACTCGAAACCCTTACTCCATAGTTGAGTGTTCTTGAGCTTAGAAGGTCTTTTGGGTGCATTTTTGGTGTTTTGAAGGAAGGAGATCATCTTGAAGCTTCATTGGAAGAGTGGGAGCTTGTAGATACGGGATATCATCATCATTTGGCATTCATTTGAGGTAAAAACATCTGAACTTGTTGTGTTATAGCTTAGATCTAGTTCTAGCTTGGTTTTGGTTAACTTTTGGTCCCATAAGTGAGTTTTGGTGGCTTGATGCAAGTCCAGCAGTTATGAGTTGCCCCTCTTGATGTTTTTGAGGTTTCTAAGTCTTAAAGTTAGCATCTTTTGGGTTGGATCTCACCCATGCATGAGTTTGAGTTCATTTCATGGAAGTAGAATGCTATATTTCAAGTTTGGGCTCATTTGGGGCATGCAAACTCACCAAGTCAGTGACTTTATGGTTCTAGATACTCTTTGGGACTCAGATCTGTGTTTTGGACCGTTGAACTTAAGCATTAAGAGCTTAATGAAAAAATGGCTTAATGAAGGAGTACGTTGGGCGTACAAGCCAGTATGCGCAGCGTACAAGCCATGCAGCATGTACACTTAGCGTACAACTGAGTACGCCCTGTATGAGTTTGAGTTCGTTCATAGTTGGTTTACGCAAATATCGTTGCCCACAAACCAAACAGATCACTTTGCAGAACTTGTACACACACTCCCGCACGGTACGCTCTGACATCCTAAAATACTCGTCCTATTTGTCTGCGCCCATGCCGTATCCTAACTGACGAATTGCAGACGTGCATTTTTGAATCGGAGAGAAACCTTTTATCCGTCTCACATCCATTTTCCATTGGAAATATGGAAAACGGTCTTCCAAATCGCCAACAATACGTAAAAATAGTTCCTTCCTCATCCGGAACCGACGTCGAAACTTTACAGCGTAGATGTCGTCATCTGCAAAGTAGTCTTCTATAAGACGATCGTGTCCGACTTTGCGATTTCTCCGCAACGGCAGGTTTCTTGGTTTAGATCATGCACGTGATGTTTTGCCTTGTCGGTTTTGAAAGAATGCAACCATTTTCGCCATGACGGAACCAATAAACTTAGCCTCCTCTTGAGCCGTCGAATCAGATGATGACATTTTGATTAATATTTTTTGGAGAGAGTAAGAAGGTATGGGTTAAAAAATGTTTGAGGTTGTGGTATTTATAGTGGGGAAATAGAAAAAAAAAAGAACAAATTACACGAATGGTCCTTAAGGTTTTGTTTTTTTTCCCTAAAGTAGTCCTTACGAAACATTTTTCTCACAGATGTTACCTACGGAGCAAACATTGCACACAAATGATCCTTATGACTAACTTTCTTAACAGATTTTGTTAAGTGTGTGTGAAAAGACGAAAATGCCCTTTGTTTTTATTTATTTATTTATTTTTAATATTTTGTTAATTAGAAATTAATGAAAAGTGGGTCTCTCTCTTTCTCTCTCTCTCACTCTCTCTCTCGCGCGCGCCTAACACCCAACACACCTTCTCCTGTCATTATCTTCTTTCGATGCTTCTCTCTCTATGTGACCAGAGAACTCAAAAGTGGTTGACCGGATGCTTCTTTCCTTGTCGGAGATTGAACACAATGGATTTAAATCCAACCACATCATTGAACCCTCTACTTCACTTACCCATTCATCGTATTCATAACCTCTTCACACTACCAGATCCACACATCTTTCTGGACAAACTCTACTCATCGCATACACTACAACTCTATTTCGATCGGTGGAAACGATTGTTAGTCTTCTCCGTATCTCTCTGTTCCAAGGGACGAAATCGATTTTTGAATCTGTCAAGATTCACCCACCGTTGATCTCTCAAGAACCAACCTGCAACAACAACAACAAAATCTTCTAAAAATCTCTCACTTGAAGTTCTTCAATGGCGACATCGATTTAGTCTCTGTCGACTCTAGAGTAATGGGAGAAGTGGAAATGAGGGATGGGAGGTGGGTGTTGGCTTTGATTTTAGTTTCAGAGAGAGAGGTAGAGTAAAAGATGTGAAAATCAATTCCTCCATTTTTTTTCTCTGATTCATCGGACCCAAATTGTAGGTGGGTAAGTCAAAGTAGATGGACTAGATTATGACGATTGTTGTCTGTTTGCCTTCTCATTCGTTGTATGATGATAACTGTCTATTTTTATTAAAAAAAATAGTTATCGAAAATAGAAAAACAAAAGTTTGTTCTTCCTATTTTATAAGGCGTTGGAGCTTTCAAAGCTCAAGAAATCAAAACGGAAAAGGTCCTTGCGAAGCAACATACGATTAGATTTCTTGAGCTTTCAAAGCTCATGAAATCAGTGGGTTGCATCAATTTGTGAAGGAAGA